TTTACTTGGGTTTCATACTCTGAATTACTTCATCCATCAGGTTTCTTACTTCTTTGCATCTTGTAACTGCTCAACTCATACACTCCTGAAGTTGAGCTCCAGTCAGCCCATTTCCAGCTGGTCTGTGAAGACAGCAGAGCCTGCCTTCCTCATCCATTACTACTGTCAAGGTTCTCTTGCCAGATGCTCCTCCTCTCCAGTTGGGTCAACTGTGAGTAAAATGTCATCAAACACAGCAAAGGACATCGCAACAGGATGAGTTCTACTTTTCAAATAACTTTTTCTCTTTAAATTAACTTCTGCTAATGCAGTTTCTTCATTTATAGTAACTTCAGGCAACTGTATGTTTTTAAAAGCTGCCAACGAAGCCAATGTATAGGCATCCAAATGTTTCCACCATAGTCAAGACAAATGAGATCAAAGTATAGAATCCATGCTAGCTTTCCTAAAGAGATGCCTAAGTCCTCTTTCTGAATTATCTGTGAATTTTCAGTGACATCTGCAATGAACTGGACAGACACTTGGGCCTCTTATCTAGGAAGTCCAGACTGAAATTTCAATGAACACAGGGGTGGCAGATCCACATTAGCAGCAACATATCCTTTATCAGGAACACCTGTTGGTGGTGCCACAAATTCTCCTTTAACTGCACAAATTACAGCAGTGTTTCCCAACCTCTCTAATGCAGAACCATGTGAGGTATTAATTGAATCATGTTGACACTTCTGGTTCTGAATGCACCAACTTGTATTCCATTAGGATTCCAATTCTCCTTCTGAAATCTCCTGTAATACTGATGCAGAATATTGGGGTGGCTGGAGCTCCAACACCAATGGGTTATTGAAGTGACTGAATCAAGAAGAATGAGTAATGTGGACAAAGGAGGGGGTAGTAAAGCAGAGTTTTAGTGAAAGAGAAAGGCTCTCAGCTGGAAGGGATTCCTAAAGAGGGGTTGCTGACTTGGGGCTTTCAGGAGTTTTTATCCCATAGTCTGAACAAGGATGTAGGCTTCAAAAAACTCAAATTGTCTATTAAGTCAGCATTCTTTGTTTCCTTTCTTAACTGATAACTGAGGTAATCTATTGTTAAAGTTTTCTAAGTGTCTACTGAGGATCTGCATTCTTTGGTGCCTCTTGGGCACAAAGACCTTGGTGTTAAAGATTGTAACTAAATAGATTTCTCATTGCTGACAGCTGTGTCCTGTAGCAAGCAATTTCTTGTGATTGCTTAGCTACTGTGACTCCATTTCTAGGCCTGTGTCCTGACTGCCTATCTTTTAGAGTCCTAAATCCTATCTCAATACTCCAGAGGTAACATGGTTTTCAACCTGGCCTCCATCTTCCCACTCACATACCTGCACCCAGGCCTGATGACCTCTTGATTTCAGACTTCCAGCCTCCAGAACTGTGAGAAAATAAATTTCTGTTGTTGTAAGCTACTTTGTTATGGCAATCCTGGAAAATACAACTATGAATATAATTTACAGAATTTAATAATGCAAAAAAATTTATAAGGTTATATTTGGCTTATATAAAGCTTATATAAAGCTTTCTGAAAATAAAAGCATGATAATTATTTGTGTGAAATCAGCTCTAATTAGTAAAAAAAATAAATCATTTAGAAGCCTAAATGACTAATACACATAAAAATTCAGGGGCTAAGTTTTTGACTATTCTGTAATTCAACTTTTCACTAATGGAAAGGATTGCCATAACTGTGATTAACAGAGGCACCATGCACATGTCATTTGAATAGAACGCAAGCAGGAGTCTTTTGTCTTTACAATAATTCCTCTATACTCTCTCTTCAAGCATTAAAACATTTTCTTTCTTTCGTCCATGAAGGAGAGAGACAGAAGAGAGAAAGAGACATGAACTCCCAATAGGATCTTCATACTCCAGTCCACCCCTTGGTCTCAGCTAACCTATGGTACGGACACCTGTATGCTGACATACCAGGAAACCTCAGGAAGCAAACCCTGGACCTCCTCATGTGGCCTTAGAATCACTGAGCATTGTGTTACTGGTGCATTATCACGACTGACATATATATACGTACCAATATGTGTGTATGTACATATGTATTTATATATTATCTATAATATGTATTTTTATATATTAAGTTTACTTATACAGAGAGAGAGATGCAGGTACCTCCTAAAGGATCTCATCACACCACAATCCCTCACCAGCTTTCACAGGTGTATACCTAGGGTGTTCCAAGTCGACGTGGGATCCAAACCACAATCCTGCACTTGGCTCCAGCATTGTAGAAATGCACCCCACCACCTGAGCGACTGTAGCTGGGCTTCTCTACTATATAAACCAGTTTTGGGGAATTTGTTTTTCCTATTAGTGACATGAGTTATGTAACAAGCCTACTAGGTATCATTCCATGGAGATCTGGGAGGTGTCTCTGGTTTTCACCGAGCCTCTGTGTTGTGAACTGCGATTAACAGAGGCACTACGCATACTTCACAGGGATAGCTGGTGAATACAGTCATGGCTTCCATAAAAAGTTTGCAGAGCAAAGCAGATTGTCATTCGAATAGAGTGCAACAGTATTTATTGACCCATATACAAGACAGGTCCATTTTCAGTACTCCTGCTCCCTGATAAGCATAAGTTGTTCTTCCAGTGTTTGGGGAGAACACAGGGTTGGCCTATTTTAGGGAGACAAGGATTTGTAAGATTGGATCATCCTGTTCCAGGTTTGGGCAACTTCAAAGACAGGGCTTTAGGGCCTTGGAACAACTCGTACAACTTTATGGAACAACTTGTACAACTTGGCTGTCTTTAGGTCAGTGAAATGCAAAAAAAAAATCCAGTCTCCCTCTTAATCCCCATCCCTTATGTTGAAAACCATCAACTCAAATGACCGCACATCCAGAGCGCCTGGATACCCTTTGAGATTGTATGATCTGATGAACAGGTAACGATGGTTGGGGTAACCACTGATAGTCCCTCTATTAGAAGCTGAGAGAAAACGCTATGATCACAGGTCTGCCTCTCTTGATTAAAGAGCAGCAGGGATGTCTACTCATTTGCAGTTCCAGGCCACAGAGGACAAGAGCCCAAGCCACTGCTACAGACATGCTCCCAGCTTTATCCACTAATAAGATGTTAAAACTTAACTTGCAACAATCAAGCAGATACTACTGCCTACTGTAGATAGAATTCTCTCTTCTTAGGCCAAAATTAGGGCTGGGAATTGTGTAGCTAGACAAATCCTTCCAGAGCAGTTGGATAACACTACTATTATATAATGTATAGTAAATACAGCTAAGACCAAATTGAACTATGCACCTGCTCACACTCCCTCAGACCTAAACATATCACTGGCTACTCGGTACAGTACACAAAAAGAAGAGACAGGGCCACTAAAAAGCCAGAAAAGTCTAAGACTTCCTGAAAGAAAAATCAGGCCTGGGGGAACCAGCAGTTAGCATAATGGCTATGTCGCTGGACTCCCCCGTAATCGACCGCGGTTCGCGTCCCAGACCGGGTGGCTTAAAACTCACGCCGGGCGCGTCTGCGTGCGTGCCCAAGATCCCGAGAGGAGGATGGAGGAGAAGGGATGGCAGCGTGACCATCCCCCCTGGGGGGGGATTTCTCACTTTCTGTCTCTATGGCTCTCTCTGTCTGTCTGGCGAGCGCACGCGCCCTACAGTGAAAAACTCTACAAAAAAAAAAAAAAAGAAAAGAAAAATCAGGCCTGGGGGAACCAGCAGTTAGCGTAATGGCTATGTCGCTGGACTCCCCCGTAATCGACCGCGGTTCGCGTCCCAGACCGGGTGGCTTAAAACTCACGCCGGGCGCGTCTGCGTGCGTGCCCAAGATCCCGAGAGGAGGATGGAGGAGAAGGGATGGCAGCGTGACCATCCCCCCTGGGGGGGGATTTCTCACTTTCTGTCTCTATGGCTCTCTCTGTCTGTCTGGCGAGCGCACGCGCCCTACAGTGAAAAACTCTACAAAAAAAAAAAAAAAGAAAAGAAAAGAAAAGAGAAATCAGGCCTGAAGTCTGTAGCTTTAAGGCATACCAGGATGCAACCTTCAGGGCTCTGTTCAGCCTCTCTGCTTGTGCAGATCAACCCAGCCCTGAGCCTGGTCTGTTTTAATTGTCACATTTTCAAGAGCGACATTAGGTACATGGAGAGCCCCTAGAGATCAAAAGATGCCAAGTCCCAGTCATCAAACACTGGGCTGCAGAGCTGACTGAAGTAACAAATCTTTTCTAAGGTAAAGCTGGTAACAGCAATGAGAGAAAATGAGACACAGAATGAGAGAAAAATCCATCCTCTTATCGACATTCTCGGGTGTTCTTAGAGTAAAGCCACTAATTAGTATGGCTTCACCAATATGTAATAGGAGGGCAAAGAACTTGAGAGATCAGATAAGAGAACAGAAGTATTAATAGCTTTTAACAGAAAAAGTGTTGGGAGAAGGGGGTGAGGAAAGAAATTCAGGAGAAAGAGAGTTAAGACATTTATGGGACACAGACATGGATTGTTATCTGTTGATGATAACGTGAATAGTACCTGAACTGGAATGGCGTGAAGTGATTCACATTGGGTAAATCCACTTTACAAGCTAAGTGTTGTATACTGATTGAATACATAAAAATAAATGTTAAAAATTTAAGAAGTGTTAGCGAACACCAAGCGCTGGGATAGCGCGCCACAATCTCCCAGCCTCGTTCACTACGGCACGGGTGGCCGTCCAGGACAGGCACACGGAAGAACGATCCTGCGTGTGATCAGGGAATGAGGGGCTCTCACCCGCACCAAGTTCCCGGCCAGTCGGCCTGTCCAACGCTCCCGCCTCCTCTTCAGGCCTCTGCCCCGCGGTTTCCTCCATCCCTCCTCCAAACTCGGGCAACGCCCGCCCCGCTCCGCAGATTGGCAGGCGGTGCAACTACTCACAGGAGCCCGACCGGCTTTCTCTCGGGAACCCAAGCTGACGTACCCACTGGGTCGAAGCCAATGGGAGCCAAGAGGTGGGGCGGGAGGCAGGGAGCCTCTGGTCAGGTGCTCTGCGCCGAGGTTGCGTGCAGGTGGACCGCTGCAAGTTCAGGGGCGCTGCGTTCTCACCACTTCCCAGCTGTTACCTCCAGGCCAGGGAGCTTTCTCCAGACCCTCCTTCTCGTTGCCCAAACCGATGCGTCCTGACCAGATCGCTGAGTGGGTAAGAGTCCAGGGAGGTGGGCGGCTTCGCTCCTGGGGGCCGCACAACTCCTGAGGGCCCCCAAAGCTACCTACCCCTTGCCACTGCCCACCCAGAGAGCCCAAGTGGAAGCATCGGTGGGCAGGGTGTCTGGGAACTAGAAGGTACCCTATGGCGCCGCGACCCTTCCGGATGGCTATGATAGAATCCCAACAGAGAAGATGAGGCGATACAGCCCCCTCCCCGTTTCAGTTGCGCCCTCTGCACAAACCTACTCTTACACTTTCCCTCTGCCTCCCTTTAATTGGATCCCATTCCTCCAAATTTCCGAAGGAGTAGTGGAGGGGAGGAGGAATTGCACAACATCCCGGTGAATCTGGGCCTAGATCTAGGAATTCCACTGCTTTGTGCAGCATTTTGTGCATGGAAAATAACGAGATCTGATATATTTTTCCCCACCCCCACCCTCCTGTTCATTGCTTATGTCATGGATGTGATAATGTTGGTTCTTCTTGCCAAACATTCCAACGCTTTAGATAGTACTTAATCTTCACTTTCATTTGTCCCATGAAAGAGTATTCTTCTACTCACCACTTACGGCTGAATTATTTGCTAAGAGAGATGTAAGTCAAATGTGCCATCTAGTTATTCTTTCTTTGAATTTTTGTTTTTGCATTAAATTGTATTCGGTCAATGTTAGTCTTCCTTGTGTTAGGAAGGTGGGAGAGAAAATTTAGGCAAGCTTTTGAAAGAGGAATCACCATCCTCAGCCAGATATTCGGTTCCCTACTTGAAGTTCCCTATTACAACTACTTTTATTGTTCCTTCTGGAATCAGAAAAATTATTGCTATCTATGAAAGTTTTCAAATTTAATTTTTGAGGGACCAGCAGTTAGCGTAATGGCTATGTCGCTGGACTCCCACGTAGTCGACCGCGGTTCGAGTCCCGGACCCGGTGGCTTAAACTCACGCCGGGCGCGTGTGCGTGCGTGCCCAAGATCCCGAGAGGAGAATGGAGGAGAAGGGATTGCGGCGTGGCCATCCCCCCTGGGGGGTGATTTCCTGCTTTCTGTCTCTCTGTCTCTCTCTATCTGTCTGGCGAGCGCACGCGCCCTATAGCAAAAACCTCTCCAAAAAAAAAAAAAAAAAAATTAATGTTTGAATCATCTCAAGATCAGTGTCTAAACCAGTTTCAGTTAAGTAATGTCTAGATATGGGGAAATCACAGATTAAAAAACAAAACAAAACATGGGCCAGCAGATGGCCTAAAGGTTAAGGCATTGGATCCAACATGGCTGACAGGGCAGCTCCAGTCTCAGACCTGAGGACTTAAAAAATACATGGGGCACATGTGCATGTGTGCCCAAAATCCCAAGAGCAGAGTGGAGGAGAAGAGTTGTGGTGTAGCCATCCTCCCTATCAGGTAATTACTCTCTTTCTCTCTCTGTTTCAGTGTCTCTCCGCAGCAAGTACAAACATGCTATAGCAGAAAAAAAAAGAGAAAGAAAGAGAGAAAAAGAAGGAAGGAAGGAAGGAGGGAGGGAGGGAGGGAGGGAAGGGAAAGAATTCAAGAAAGAAAAAGAGAAAGAGGAAGAGAGAAAGAGAAAGAGAAAGAAAGAAGGAAAGAAAGAAAGAAAGGAAGGAAGGAAGGAAGGAAGGAAGGAAGGAAGGAAGGAAGGAAGGAAGGAAGGAAGGAAGAAAGAAAGAATGACAGAACGAAAGGAAAGAACGAAAGAAAAGAAAGTGAAGCAAAGCAGTTATTGCTCCCGGCCAGTAACCATAGTTCACACATAGTGCCTACTTCTGAATGCAAACCAACGTTTCTGGATCTGGTTACTTGATTTGTTTTTCCTATTCCTATAATAGAGCAAATCAAGCCAGAGTCTATTATCGATGTTTAAAAATGTCTTCAGCAAACTCAAATTAGGAATTTGTCAAACCTGAATTCAAGAAATTTCTTTCCACAGAGTACATTAATCCAAGTTTTAGTGGGCTTATAATAGGACAGTAAAGGGAGAGAATAAAAGATTCTTGCTTGATGTGCAAGCCTGAGGAGCATTGACAAAATTCACATACTGCCTTTTATTAGGTTATTAAGTAGAATGAAAACTTTTTAGAAATAAATGTAGATTTCAGAAAAAAAAGAAAAGAAAAATACAACAACCTTGATCCAAAAAGTATCATACTCATGCCTTACCATGAGTCCAATGTCTCTACCCATATTATTGATAATATTTAGGAAAGTCGACATCAAATTTCAGAATTATGTTTCTGTTTATACTTAGTTTAGAATCTAATTGTTTAGTTTAAGTTATGATTTGATTGTTAATAAATGGATACAGATTACATTTCACAAATATATTTGTCATAAATTTTATTTCAAGAAACTTAAGTTCATCTGTTTTCCTTTCTCTAGTAATACCTCTAACCATGATAAACCAAACAAAGAGGTTTACTTTGAAAACAGAATTGTGGGAGCTGGCTGGTGCCATGGTGGTTGCGGATGCTGGACTCCCACATGGCCGACCATGGTTCAAGTCCTGGACCTGGCAGCTTGCTTTCTCACTTTCTCTCTCTCTCTCTCTCTCTCTCACACACACACACACACATACACACACTCACACTCACTCTATCCCTCTCAGCTCAAATTTTAATAAATAAAGTTATTAAAATAATTCTTAAAGAAAAGACATAGAACAGTTTTTTTAAAAAAGGAAAATAGAATCGTGTATGTACACAAACACACACTCATCGAGGTGTCATAATCCCTTCTCTTTTACTCTTGGGATTTTAGGCACGTATGCATATGTGCCTGTCACCTGGTTGTGTGTGTGTGTGTGTGTGTGTGTGTGTGTATGTGTATGCATACATGTGTATGTTTAAGTACCATTAGTGGATTTGCTAATGATGCTTCCTTGTTCCTAGGCTCCAGTAGTTGGTGTAGCCATAATGTTAAATATGTTCACATGTACTTGATTATATAAAAAGTTTATGATCAGAAATCAAAAGTCAACCTGAAAATGTTTCTGAGAAGCTGAACATGAAATCATATTTTAAAATGCTACTAGGGAACTCATTTGAATAATATCTTTGAGAAATATTTTGATAAATTCTTAGAAAATAAAGTTTTTAAATGCAACTAAACTTCCTAGCTTTATTGTACATGTAGCTCCAAGGGACTTGTTTAAGTTGAAATTTTGCAACAGAATTCTTTCAGGCTGTAATTTATAATATAACTGGGATTACTAGCGTATGTATATGTGTCTGTCTCCTGGTTGTGTGTGTGTGTGTGTGTGTGTGTGTATGTGTATGCATACATGTGTATGTTTAAGTACCATTAGTGGATTTGCTAATGATGCTTCCTTGTTCCTAGGCTCCAGTAGTTGGTGTAGCCATAATGTTAAATATGTTCACATGTACTTGATTATATAAAAAGTTTCTGATCAGAAATCAAAAGTCAACCTGAAAATGTTTCTGAGAAGCTGAACATGAAATCATATTTTAAAATGCTACTAGGGAACTCATTTGAATAATATCTTTGAGAAATATTTTGATAAATTCTTAGAAAATAAAGTTTTTAAATGCAACTAAACTTCCTAGCTTTATTGTACATGTAGCTCCAAGGGACTTGTTTAAGTTGAAATTTTGCAACAGAATTCTTTCAGGCTGTAATTTATAATATAACTGGGATTACTAAGCACCATCACTCTCAGTTTGGGGTAAAGTATATAAAACAAAAGTATTGCCACTCACTTCTATATGTTTATTCCACAGATTGTTTTACACTGAACTGATCAAGTACTTTGAAAATGCCTTCGAAATCCCTTATGGTATCCTTCGTATTTTCTGCACTGACTGCTTCAACTACGTTTTCTCTCCAGCCAGAGCAGCAAAAGGTTCTACTTGTTTCATTCGATGGATTCCGTTGGGATTACTTATATAAAGTTCCAACACCTCAGTTTCATTACGTTATGGAATATGGTGTTCATGTGAAGCAAGTTACTAATATTTTTATTACAAAAACCTATCCTAACCATTATACTTTGGTAACTGGCCTCTTTGCAGAGAACCATGGGATTGTTGCAAATGAAATGTTTGATCCTGTTCTAAACAAAACTTTCTCCTTGGATCACATGGATATTTATGATTCTGAGTTTTGGGAAGAAGCAGTGCCAATATGGGTAACAAATCAGAGGGCAGGATTTCGTAGTGGTGCAGCCATGTGGCCTGGAGCAGACGTAAAAATTCATAATAGCTTTCCTACTCACTACATGCCTTACAATGAGTCTGTTTCATTTGAAGATAGAGTTGCCAAAATTATTGAATGGTTTACATCCAAAGAACCCATAAATCTTGGTCTTCTCTATTGGGAAGACCCTGATGACATGGGCCACCATTTGGGACCTGACAGTCCACTTATGGGGCCTGTCATTACAGATATTGACAACAAGTTAGGTTATCTCATACAAATGCTGCAGAAGGCAGAGTTGTGGGACGTGGTGAACCTAATCATCACAAGTGATCATGGAATGACCCAGTGTTCTAAGGAAAGGATAATAGAACTTGACCAGTATCTGGATAAAGATCATTATACCCTGATTGACCAATCTCCGGTAGCAGCCATCTTGCCGAAAGAAGGTACGTCTGACCTGAACGTTGATCTGAGGCAGGCCTGCGTTTGCCCAGTGTGATGAAGGGGGCAGGGGATTTCTGTTTCTGTGCCTTTACGTGTGCTTGCCCATGCCATGGTAATATTCTGGATTTAATTCTTAGGCTCTGAAAAGACAAAATCTGTTTTTTTCAGTGTCGATTTTTTTTCCCCTTTTTTCTAGAATATTGAAAATGATGTTCTTGGGACCAGCAGATGGTGTAATAGTTACATCGCTGGACTCCCACATAGTCAACTGCAGTTTGAGTCCCAGACCCAGCAGCTTAAAGCTGTTTGTGCGAGTGTGCCCAAAATCCCGAGGAGAATGGAGAAGAGGTTGTGAGTGGCCACACCCCTGGGGAGTAAATTTTCACTTTGTGTCTCTCTAGGGAACACACATCCCTATATAGCAAAAATCTCTCTCTCAAAAAAAAAAGGAAATAATGCTCTCTATAGACTTATGGCAGTAGATATTAACCATTTTGAAATTATAGAATATAATGATATCTAGAGCCTCCCTTCTCAAAAGGTGAGATGGAAAGATATATACAAAATTTGAATACGATTACAGTAAATTCATGGAAGTTCCTTCCATAGACCCTGAATTAAAACCTGGTTAATAGGAAAGCAGTAGCATATAAGAAGGAGAATGAGCTTTGATCGATCTGAGGTTTATTTTCCTTATTCATTTT